GTAAGACAGGATCACTTAACGGGTGAGATGTAATGCCTGCATTAACCGGGTATGCTTCCAATCTCTCTATCCAAACGTGGCGCACGGGTAGGTTCGGGTCGTTGGGAGTGATGATAAATAGGTTCACGCACTCGCGAACTGTGTATGTATCGATAAGGACTATACAGGACCATTTCTATTGCTCGTTTGGACAGAACCATATTTGGGTTTTTATTTGAGCTGGATAGGTGAGTAGGATGATCAAAGTACCGTGACTCCTACTACACACTATATGTGTCGTGTCACGAACTCTGCTGAGTTCGAGCTCGGGTGATCCTCAAGTGGCAAGTTTAAGAATGAATTAAGTGTGCAAAGGTTAAAGGAAGCTACTTACAGCTCACGGTGCCCTGTGGAGTGGCGGATTATGGGTGATAGCTGCATGAAAATGAGAACATCTTGTGTGTCGCGAAGATGAATCAGACAGCAGCCAAAAGAAGTTGTGGACTCCATGGTGTACTGTCACACTCCCTCCTTCAGGAAAGCGGCGTAGTGGTTGCTTGAGCCGCTTGAGAGCCTATCCGAGGCCGTGATGATTTGGTGTGAGCATGGAATGCGTCGATAAGCCTGTGAACTTGGATGAGTGATTCGGTAGGTTCTCATTAGCCTTTGTTCGCACTGCAATACCAACGAATGAAATATTCGTCGGCACCACCACGAACTCGATGCTTTAGATTTTCCTTGACCCGCAAACCGAGGCTTCCATCACGTGTAATCAAGGCTGGAACGCGGTTGTCTCGAGTACCGGAGTCGTCTGGAGTGTAGCGTCTTAGTCGACATACATGAAACTCGTCGTGGAGTTTGAGACCTGGTGGAAGACCAATCTTGTATGTGTCGGGGATCGTTATGTTGAGAACAGGGTATGATCCGATTTACTTCGGGGCCAGTATCCGCTTTCCATCATTGCCGACGTGGTGAAGAACCAAGTTGGAAGTATCGAGCAGTACCTGATCGCCGGCGCGAAACGAAGCGGTCGTAGTAGAACTTCATCCACTGTTGATCCTGTTCTAGTGCGTCTTAGCATTCGGTCAGGTTGGTTTGCTGCGTGTCCACGAATCGAGAGGCAGATCGAAGACCGTCGCGAGTTGGAACGACTAAGTCACTCACGCAACGTGGTAAATACCCTAAATCGGCGACGAATGGAGCCATTCCGATGCTGTCGTGGACGTGAGAACTGTACGCAAATTCGGCGATCGCAAGGAATTCGTTCCAATCGGTCTGGTGTGGGTTGACGAAGGTACGCAAGAAATCGCCAAGAAAACGGTTTGTGATTTCTGTCTGGCCGTCCGTTCAGGGTTTGAAGGCGCTGCTCGGTTTTAACTTGGTGTCTTGCAGGTCCAGCAGTTTTGCACAGACTTTAGAGGTAAACTTCGAGTCTCGATCACGCACAATAGACACTGGAAGTCCATGAAGACGTTGAAAGTTATCCCGGAAAAGCTTCGCTGTGTCCTGCGCTGTGGCTGTTGATTTAGTCGCGATGAAGTGATCCCTTTTCGTAAGGCGATCCATCACAGCATTGTGACGATGGGGCTTCGTCTCTGGGAGCGACGTCACGAAGTCCATGGTAATGTGTTTCCATCGACCCTCCGGAACGTCTAAAGGATGCAGGAGTCCTTGTGCTTTGCTTCGAGACGTCTTCGTCCGCATACACATTTCGCACGTAGCGCAGTATGATCGAATATCACGAGCCATTGACGGCCAATAATACTTTTGCTGCATGAACGTCAAAGTTTTCGACGAGCCCGGGTGTCCTCGGACAACCGAATCGGGCTCTTCAAAACAAATGCGGTCACGAAGTTCACGATTATCGGGAACACAAAGTCGCCAATCTCGCGAAGAATGTGAACGAAAGAACAGTTTTGTAGTTCGTAATGGTCAATGGTCCCGTTCTTGGGTAGCTCAGCATCAGGGGCTGCTTCGCTGTTGAGCTTGGCTCGTAGTTGCTTCACGATGGGGCCAAAACAATCGTCACTTTGGTATAGTTCTGAACATCTTTCTTGTATATTGCCGGATGATCCGCGATGGTGGATTACGTACAGGTGGGTTGAAACGTCATTGCTTTCATTGTCACCATTGATGTGCTTCAACAGTGCAGCGAGAGAAATGGCAGTCGTGTCCAGCTTCCAGCTGGGATTTCGAGAGATGAAGTCAGCCACTACGTTAGAGTCTCCTTTGATCCATTTGAAAAGTGGTTGGTACATTTCAAGCTCGTGGAGCCACCTTGCGAGCCGTTGAGAGCACGTCTTCTGCTGAAGGATAGGTTCGAGCGTGCGATGATCGGTGCTGATCATGAACGGCTTGTCGATGAGATACACATGCCAAATGCGCATCGAAAACATGAGAAGTTCTTTTTCACGCGTTGGGTACTTCAGCTCTGCCTCACCGAGTTTGCAGCCGCCATAAGCAATGACTCTCTTTTCGCCTTCGTCGTCGAATAGGTACAGATAGCCACCGACGACAAAGTCAGATGCGTCCTTTTTCACGCAAAACATTCGGTCAAAGTCGGAATGGGCTAGAACGGGAGGCTTGGAGAGTCTGTACTTGAGCTCTTCAAAACACTTTAGGCGCAGCTCGTTGAACTGGAGTTGTTCAGTTCGGGTCTTCTCCTTTGTCATCTCAGTGAGCGGCGCCGAATACTCTGTGAATTCTGGACAGGACTTGAGCACATATACACAAGTGCCGAGGAACGACTGTAGTTCACGCTTCGTGCGAGGCTTTGGCCAGTTCTGGATCACTTCTCACATTGTCGGGGTCCATCCGAATGTCATGGATTCCGATGAAGTCGCCTAGACAAGGTATCTCCCAGGCGCAGAATGTACACTTCGACAGCTTGATGTACACCCGTTCCTCCTTGCACCTCTCAAGAACCTTTTCTAGGGCAACAAGGTGATCCTCCATATCGTTTGTCTCGGTGTAGACAAACAAGTCGTCGAAATAGGCATTGTAGAAGCTGCTCTGATCGGCAAAGCCTTTCTGGGTCAGGTGATTGAATGCTGTAGGGCTACACGAGAGGCCCATGAGAGTCACCAAATATTCGAACTGTGCGTCAGGTGTCGAAAACGCGGTATACGGTACGTCCTGTTTCCTCAAGCGCCCTGAAAGAATCCCCACAAAAAGTCCATGGCTGAGAAAATCTTACCTTTGCACATGGAGTCAAAAATGTCTTCCTTCCGCGGCATTGTCGTAGCTGGAAGTCGAATCTTGGCGTTGATGCCTCTGAAATCGTGAACTACTCGCCAGCCCACCGCCTTCTCAACGCAAAAGGTTGGTGCTGAGTAGGGTTATTTCGAATGCCGAATAATGCCAGCTAACGAATTGCGGTCTTCATTTCTTCGCTGAGTCGGAACAGCTTTCTCGCTACAGGTTCATCGTCTACCAGTTCGATTTTGGCTATGATGTCCACGCTACGCGTTCGGGGTACTGTAGGAAGCTGGTTTGGAAGACGACGTCTTTGTACTTGAGCAGGAGTGATTCGGCAGGGTGTCCGCTAAGTGCGTCCCAGTTTTGAGCTAATTGCCGGCCTGCTTTAGCGCTGTCAGTATCACGCTGAATCACGAAGTAGAATTCGTTGCCTTTTTCTCGCAGTAGTTTTTTTTTCAGATCTTTGGATGCTACAACACTTGTACACTGTCGAAATCATGACGCATGTAAAAGTACTGGAGAGCATCGTCCTCACAAGTAGAGCGGCCAATTCTGTGACGTTGACAGCCGACACTACGAGCTGGAGCATGTCGTAAGCACTGTCGAAAGGAGACTGCGGACGACTGGGCATCGCTGGGGAATGATATTGTTCGGCTCGCCCAGTCGATATTCGTGTTCACTTGCCCAAGCCATGACCATCCAAGTAGCGCGTTTTTGTCCTCTGGAATGGGCATAACGTCCATCGACGACGTGTACTCGGGAAAGCCTTCGATATTAACGGTAAGAACAGCTTCCTTGCGCGGGATTGTGATGCGTTGGTTGTGTCCGATTTTCACTGATAGCGGTTCTGGGTATTGTTTGACTTCGATGTCCAGCTTTTCAGCTAGCTTTGGGGAGATAGCGTTGATGACGACCCGCTGTCCACGAAACGCTTCGCGACTTGGTTGTGAATTCGTGCGTCTTGGGTCAAATAGCAGTATAGTTTGTCCGAATGAAACGCTAGGCGTTTTGCTGCTACTGCTAGTGGCTTCACCAGACAATGGCGGTGCAGAAAGCTTACTGCCAGAACTTCCTGACCTTGCTGGCTCGGTAGGTTGCCACCCTACTAGCTGGGCCGTTTTTGACGACCCAGAATCTGCAGCAGTGGTGGTATCGCGTGCCTTCGTAGGGCACTCGGCCTCCGTGTGGGTTTTCCTCTTGCAGTAATTGCACTGCTTCACCGGGTTGTCCTTGGAGGCGTTCTTCTTCGACTGGTTGTTGCCTTGGTTGCTGTTGTTGGCTTTGGCGTTCTGGTTTGCCGGATCCTTTGCAGGAGGCCGCGTACTAGCGGGCTTTGCGTCCTCAAACGTTGTGCCATTTTGATGCCTTGCTCAAGAGTCTCAGGAACATTTGGCGAGATGTACGCCGACGTGTCCGCACGCAGATTTTGCTGAAAGAAACAGCGCTTGGCGACTTCAGGCAGTTCAGTGTCCACTTGCGAGAGCAAGTGCAGGAAGCGAGATGTGTATTCCTGCTTGGACCTTTTAGCCTTCAGCTCGTACATTTTGGTCAGAGTCTTGAACTTAAAGGACTTGTCGCGGAAGCGCGCTCGGATACGCTCCTTGAAAACACTCCATGTAAGTGGACCGGCCCCAAGCGATATCTTCACATCGCGATACCATGCTTGGGCTTCCGTGCCGAGGTTGGCAAAGACCATGTCCGAGAAATTCGACAAAACGTCGTGCATCTCCGTACGGATCTCGGAGTAATACTGCTTTGTGGAGAAAATCCAAAGCTCCAAGTCGTCCTGATCGTTGCCACCAAAGCGTTGTGGATCGGACTTCTTTCGAGATGGTTTTGGGCGCTTTTGAGCCTGCTGTGGCTGCTGCTGAATCCGCGTCGTATGCGCCAGAAGTTGAGTCATCTGCGTCGCTTGTTGTTGCGTAGTATGCAGCGTGTCCTGCAGCAGTTGCGCTAACATGTTAGGCGTTAAAAATGTCTGCGCGGAAGATGGCGTTGTTGATGAACCTTGTGCCGTAGCGTTTTGAGCTGAGGTGCCTTGTTCGCCTTGCCCATTTGCTGTAGCTGGTGGGGGACGGTTGTAGCCTTCCGGAGGCACATCCCATCGGGTTCCTCGCGGATTCACACATGGGCGCTGCTGTGTGTGCCCGTTGTGCGTGCCCGAATCCGCTGCTGCTGACATCGCTCTCTTAGTAAAAGTTAATTAGCTGTCACGAACTCTGCCGAGTTCGAGCTCAGGTGATCCTCAAGTGGCAAATTTAAGAATGAATTAAGTGTGCAAAGGTTAAAGGAAGCTACTTACAGCTCACGGTGCCCTGTAGAGTGGTGGAATGTGGGTGATAGCCGCATGAAAATGAGAACATCTTGTGTGTCGCGAAGATGAATCAGACAGCAGCCAAAAGAAGTTGTGGACTCGATGGTGTACTGTCACATGTCGCCGACAAATTTACTGATCATTAGAATGTGAGAGGTACTACATCATTTTATAACCTACTCAAGTGGGTGTGCGACTCCGTAGTGCTACGGAGTCGAGGACAAGACGTTTGGAAGAATCTCCGTTCCCAATACGTTCGTCGCTTTGTCCAGCAAAAGAATTGATTGGTCTGAAATGACAAATAGTTTCGATTCATGTTCGAATCTCGTAGCCAGTTACCGTTGAGCATGTGGATGCCCTCAAAGCCGATGTCTCGATTCATAGAAGTTTTGAATTTTTTATTTTCTCATTGAAACGCGAGAAAAATCCGGTTCACGTATTCCGGCGCGTTTAGTCGAATCCTTTGTGGCTGCATCTGTGATCAACATACGTATGTTAATATTGATTGAAGCGCAGCATTAACAGCCAATAGAGAACTAGTGAATTCTGCTCGATTTTACAATACAGTTAACCCAGTACTAAATGATTATTGCACAACGATATATCCTGCTATAGATGATACGAAGTCTTTCCACCGAGTTGG